GGCTTAAAAAGTAGTTAACACCTTTGAAAAGAACTAATTCAAGTAAAGTATCGGTTGTCAGCATCAAAAAGGCAGTTTAATAATTATATTTTTACAGAGTGCTCATGAGGACACTGCAAGAACAGGCGAATCTAGAACAGTGTAGGGGAGCAAAATATACCCAACTGGAGAATTATAAACATAACGTTGATGTTTATCTTGTCGAAGGACAGTTTACATCGTAAGCAAGGCAGGCAGCATTTAATGAGCTAAGAAATAATGAAAAAAAACTGGTCGTGTAAAACTTCAGAGGTTGCTTTGGACTCCTACGGCAACAGTTGTCTTGGTTGATATAAATGATGCGTGAATATAGGAACTGTCTGGAGATAAAGACCATTATTCATGAGAGGTGAAAGAGACTGCGCGGACCTGCTATCGAAAGTACGTGTGCATAAAAAGTCCATCGTAACTAGAGACACTTTTCTTAGGGGACTTCACGCAAAGGTGACCAATTGCCCTTCGCCGATTAAGGAATCCACCGGACAGAATGAAATCAGGGAAGCCAACAACGGGTAGAAGAGCAGCTCGGGGGGCTGCAAAGACGAGCGCAGCAGAAAAAATGACGGTGGGTTTAGTAACCACAGAAATTTCCGCAAGCCCATCAGCTTGACTTCTATAAACAGAGTTAAGTGGGTTCTTGGGAAAACTGCTATCCTAAAACAAAGTAATAACATTTAAGTGCTTTAATTGTGTTCTCCATTTAAGTGAAGGTCGTTTGTTATATATAAGGAGCGTTGGTCGATGCATTTGGTCCGAGTTCCGATTTGTCACACATTTTATTGGGTTTCCGCACATATAGCGTTTCCCGTCACCCAGTGTTTGTGATATGAAAGAACACATCATCAGGAAGACCGAAACTGATAGAATGGATTTTTTTGTTGCTGACTGCTCGTCAGTGACACCGTTTTCAGTCGTTCAACGGTGAATAAAACCTAGTAGTGTTATACTGACGGATGGATGACGGCTGTAAAGCAATGGGTTTCGCTAATACATTCTGAACCACCCAGAGGTTTTCATTAAATCAAACAACGACGCCACCATGAGGCGCGCTGGAAGATCTTGGAATAACCAGGGATACAGAATTCTCGCTGTTCGTGGATAGCAAAGGAAAGGCCTTTAGAATAGTTTAGACAAAGCTCAGTATAAACGTTGGTTAAGTTTTCCTTGGAGGTTGTTCACCCAAAACTGGACTATGTTTCTCAAGCCCATATGTCCATAATAAATAACTTTTCTAGACTTCATGCACATGTGGAAGTAAAGTAGCAGGTTCGTTAGAGTTCCTGTATCTGCAGCAGAACAATTATTTCTTTTTTTATGTATTTGTAGCATTAGGATTAACATACACTGCAAGCTTTATTCAGGGAAACTATCTTTTATAATATATTTAGATCGTCATCCTTTACTCACCTTCTAGGCGTTATTCAGTCAAATTACATACTTCTGCCCTTTAATCAATTGCATTAGTGTCATTTTCAATCAAAACTCCAAATCCAGCGATATGCATCTACGTCAAAGTGGTCAATGCTAGCAGCAAGTGCGAAAATCGAAATCTCCGACCATCGGCGGAGCTGTACTACTAACGACGCATGTTCGAAGTGGTATCACAGCACGTCTTGCATTTTCTGCAGCGTGACTATCGCACCCATAATCGCAGAGCAACTGTCTCACTCTGGACTGTAAACTCGGACTCACATATCGCCCATGGTTGATCTGAAGCAGCTTAGAATTCCTCAAGACTTTTCAATCAAACCTCTAACAGAGACGAAAACACAATGAGTAACTCTAGCCCAACTATGATTTGAAATCTAATTCAAGATGTAACCAGAAAAGAAGGCCAAACTCAAACGTTTAACTATTCATCTGATCGCAAGCTGGAAACCAGATCTAAGACGCAGAGGAAGGGAAATTGCAACCTGTGGTGAACGGCTACCATAATCCCCGTCCTAACCTCGTAACTAGGGCGATATAAAATCCAGCGCTAAGGGCGCGTCAAGATAGTCCCCTAAGCTTAACCCATACTTTGACTGTAAACCTAACCCCAACCTCTACTGTTATTCTAAGGGTGACCTTAAAAACTGCCACCCTTTTGACAATTTAGAACTCCAAACCACTCAAATCAGGAAGGTAACAAAAAATATGTAATACTTACGAGTGTTGTTACAAAAGCGTCTGATCCATTTTCAATATTTCTATGCCACTCTGCGCTTACCAAACTAAATAAAAACCCGTAGTCTTGTAGTGTGCAAAAGGAATATACGTCGTAAACAACCGGATTTATTATTGGAAAAAAGTGACGCTGAGCCATATATCAAGAAAGACCTGAGAGCAAGACGATCTGAATTTGGCGATCAATCCAGCTTATTTGTATAACTACGGCCCAGTCCTTTATTGTGGGACATCCTAAAAGTGGACTATTCAAAAAGGTAATGCAGTTGAGTCTATTCGGTGCCATTTATTTGAGACTACACACGGATGATAAAAAATCTATCTACTATAACAAATTCCGTTTTGAAATTTTAACTGTTTCCAGTGCAAATTATTTCCGTATCCTTAAAATAGATAATGAAAGTTGGAACAATCTGCACAAATGGTCACTTGTGCATGTCCAACCGGTTGTTAGATAGCAGTGGTGTAAAAAGTGAAAAGCAATTTGCCCAGAACCCGCTTTGAAGCACACCAACCGTGATCAGGTGAGATCTCGACTAGCAGGCGTTAGCTATAACTGTTGTTAGTGTTTGCATGTGAAAAACCTAGAAAATGGAGCAGGGACAATGGTCACCTAGTGCTTTCACACCTTTGATCTAAAGCCCATGTGAGTTACATTAGAAGACTTCAGCACGATCAGAAAGCATAACTACCGCAGAGTTCTGTTAATTTTAAAACGACATAGCGAGGTTAAAAAGAAGTGCTAAATTTCTCAAGATCATTCGGGTGAAAATCTCTGCAGCATAGACCCGAGGGGATCAGTAATCAGGTGAAAGAATACGAATTATTACCAAATATCTTATGAGAAAGTCAGTTTATATGCGGTACTTTATGAGTTTCCTCCTTTCTATTACCGTCGGACCGAGAACGCCACTATAAGAGCTGAAGGGCGGTACATGCATTCCAGCTATCTTTGGACAATCAAAGAACGTCCGACGCATTTTCATGATTTCGTTTAAACATTCAGCTTATTTCAGCGGGGTGAGAATTTTGTAGTTTATTTCAGGATGAGTTCAGAAGGGATGTCAGCGCTAATAAGAGCTGAATCTAAGAAATACCAGGAGAAACGACTTAAATAGTCATGAGGGGTTCAACAAAGATAGCTTTAAAGTATCCTGCCCTTTCAAAACAATTGTTGAGAAGATTATCAAGTTCATTTAGCGAATTCCGTTTTATATGTCGAGGTCTTTTGGGGGTTCTAGGGTAGCTGAACTGTGCCGCAGATCTCGCGGTGTTCAGATCACTGAACAAAAATATTGCCATTTATTTATAGCGTGCAGGCAGCGTCTTCGAGGTTTACCAAAAGTAGCTATTATTCTTAAATGGGCTGACAATGAAGTAGATGATAGCACAGGCTGATACCTTCTAAAATCTTTAGTTCATGGGGAAAACAGCAATGGTGAGGTCAGTCAAATTAGACCTAGGACATATGGACTGCAGGAATCATAGAATGTCTTTCGTTGCATATACTGGGACGTTCAAAAAGTGCTTGTATCAATAATGTAGAGAAAACTGAAGTAGGCTAACGATCCAAAAAGAAATAAATTTGACAACCTGTGGTAACTCCAGAAAGGAGAAGCGGAAGATCAGAGGAAGTTGGCACTTGAATACTATCGAAAAGACTCTCGTGGAAATCGAAGAAAGAGGTTGCATAACGCCGATGAAGGTAGGATCTCGTGCGTGGTCCTTATTTTTCAGTGAAGACAACAACAGAAACCAAAGTGGAAAACCGCCAATACACATTTTATACACATCATGGCTTTAAATATCATCCAAAGTGATGTGCGTCATTACAAATATAAGTCATTTGATCAGGAAATACCGTTATACAGGCAGTTACTTTACGGAATCTCATAAGATTATCCTCCAAGACATAACATAGCTACTGATATCTGCCATTTATCAGTAATGTTAGCGTTTTGTGGGCGCTAAACAGGCAAGTTATTTTTATGATTAGCTGGGGCTTAGACTGCCTCATATAAAATAGAGAAAAGGTGTATCTAAAAGCACAACCTATTTTCGGAGAACAAATTAGACTGTCATTTAAAAAAAAACAGATGATTCGTAAACGTCAATCTTAGAGTCCGGAAGAAATTATGAGGTCCACGTTTCCGTGATACTCAAAAGACATGACAGCGCATTGGAAGGTTGGAGTGGTTTTCAGAAATTATATGAAATTGAGTTGATTCTGGTGCTGCTGCAAGACTTTCGATCCAGACGTCGCCGGAATTAATCCTCGAAATGATGTTATTTTTAATCTGGAGCAAAATGCAGCTCGGCATTGGGGACGATAGGAATACTTTTCTGGTTGCCTAGGTTTGGAATCGTATGTCTTACTCAGGGTTCCTTATGACGTCCATTTTCAATCAGAAGAAATCAAAAACAATTGCTGCCAAGGATCGTCTACCTTCGGCATTTGTGAACGCTTGTTTTTCCAGGGATCTGTTTACGTGGCTAATTACTTTTTAGTCCCTGACCACTTCACGAGGCCCTGAGCTATATCCCGCACGCAGTTGGAGGATTTTCTATTATTTTTAGACATCTAAAATACAAATTAACAGTGTTGACCTCCAGCGCGATGTGTTTGACTATATCGCTTTTGCTGGCGCTGTTTTGAGCGTTGCATTTTGGACTGTCGATCCTAAACTTCAATGTACGACCCTTCATTGAGGACTAAGTCATACATCACCGTTGCTGTGATATGTGTGGGTTTCGCCATTATGGTCCCAATTGTATTCAAACCATTCTTTCTACGCATGTTGGGTCACAGCCCTACGCCAGCAGCTCACGTAGACAATGATCGACTTAATACGGAAAGGGTAAGCATCAAACAGGCATCTAAAGTCATAAAGCCCCCACTTCATCCTAGGGCTGCTGAACTGAAGTCCGAGAAACCTTCCCAAAGGAAAGGCGGGATTCTATCAGTAATCCTGCCAATTTATGCTCTAGGGATTTTCGTTTATTTTGCGTATATAATGTTCAAGGTTAGTAGTTCCGTATCTTTTCTTGTAAATTTACAAGGGTAAAATTTGCGGATTTTGCCGTTGAAGGGAGTGCCTCTCCGCTTATGTCTTTACCACTTCTTAACGTACTACATAGCTTCGGCCTTCTTTTATAAGACGACTGCTTAAGACATATCATGTGAGTGTCCTCTTGCATGGTGCGCATAACAAATTATGTGAGAATAGTTTGATTAGAGGTCATTATTGGAGGTTGCGCATCCGAATTATAGCTTGTTAGGCACCGTATGGTTTCTGTGCATTTGGATGTTCTAAGTTCTGCCATTCACCTCTTGGTTATTTGACCTGTTCCAAGGATAGTATGGAACTCCCAGGATATGCGATTTACGTGATTTTCGAAGCGATCAATGGGTCAACGTTTAGCTCGTAACTGACGTATAGTCAAAAACTTCTTGGAGGTGTTTTTATAAAGAAATAATACACGAAGACAGCGGCACATTCGTCTTTGGTTCATGGCCTAGAAAATCTTTAACTTGCCAGAAGTGCCGACCACTGCGCCGTTAATTGAATTGGCGAAAACATGCATCTAAATTCCTTCATCGCCCGTCACTTTGAAAAGGACCGGCACAAGCTACAAAGGTCTTCCATTACTTCTCTTAAATGCCCACTTGCTACTGAAGAAGGGTCGACATGTTTTAGCTCCTCAACGTACTATAGACTTGGTCATTCTCCAGCACGTGGTCATTTCTTCCGAACTAAGTCATTTGGACCATGCACGGTACAATGAAACAGGCACTAATTCAGGTAGTGAGGTGCATGGCCATCACTGTGGAATGACCACGAGGACTAGAAATAGTCGGACTGCCCACACCGAATTAGTTACTTGTGGTGCCTACGTTTCGCATGCCTGGGTGTTAAACTTATCTTATACAACACACGCGTCAAATGATTTCTTTTATGTAGACAGGAGGCGTTCTTTCGGAATCAGAGAATCAAAACAATGAATACCGGCTAACAGTTATCTTGCGCTACGATGGGTATCTAGGTAGGTGCTGGCTAGAGCTCCATAGCATGACTACTGGTATTGGTGCAGAGTGCCCTTTAAGAGTTATATTAACAACTTCAACACATTTACCTGATAAAGGAGCATCCCACAGCAACACCCTAACCCAAGATAGATTCGACTAATAAGGGGTTCATTCAGTAGGCACTTCCTTGACTGAGCGTAACTTACCCCGGTCACAGTTCCTATCGCCATCTTGCCGAATTTCGTATCAAATCAGGGGCATAATTCCTGGACTTTGGCTTAGCCGTCTTGAAGGGTGGAAGAGCCAGATCTGTTAGCCTGGGGGTCGTCTGTATGGACTTTTACTTTGTACTTATAGTGGTCGGCACCAATCCTGGTTCAGCTCTCTCCGGAATCCCAGACATAATAAACTAGTCTCGACCACCTCCCGCGGTAGTTGCCTAGTCCCTCTACGATCGTTGTCTAATTGGAATTTCATCCCCGAACGACATGTTAAGAGTCCTGGATTGGGAGGGTGCCAACTGACGGGATAACTAGGGTCTTTTCATTTCTGAGAGTCAGGCTGCAATGAGCCCTTCTTATTGTGACCTTCATGGCATTGTCAGCCATGTGATATCAGAGCAGTGTATAGTAGCCTGGTACAGGTTTTGTGGACCAGGTCGTGCGTGGAACCCGTTGGCGGGCTGTTTAGCTTTGTTAGCCACTACCTGCGCCCATTTCGGGACATCTTCCCTTCGTTAGAGCGATGTGGATGAAGGAGGACACAGTGCAGTAGATGCCGCAAAAGTCTGTCTCACCATGAACTACTTCATGTGCAAGTCGCCAGTGCTGCGCCCACTCCTTGGGAACATTGTGAAAGTCGTTGCTTACAAAGGTCAAACCGTGGTGCGTCGACGACTGAACCGTTCAAGATAATAACTGGTTGGTGATTCTTTCAAAGTAATAATAACAATAAGTATGGATGTTCCTTGGAGATAGTCTTTTGTTGCTCGCACGTTTTGCTACTTTTCTGCTGAAGGAGGTGGCTGGTCAGAAGAGCAAGACCTGTTATTAGTACTATTGTGTTTTATTTTTTTGATGGGTATTCCCCCTCAGAATAGTCAACCTTGAAGTAGTTTATAATAGGTTATTTCCAATCCGTAGAGGTAAGGACAGTCAAAGGTTTTTGTGACTGAATTGATAAGGGACAACAAGAGGTACAGGGTCATTTCTTACTTTGATCCCCAAGCATACCTGATAAGTCAATCAGGAAAGGGCGCACACCGATCTATTGGCTTCACGAAGCAAACAAGCTCCGTATGGGTAGCAAAGGTCAGGAACAGGCAACCAATTACCAGGCCGAAGTCGGCCAGGTCATAATAGCAGCAAGGAGGGACGACAGAGAATGCGGGTAGATTGATACAGTACTGTTTCGGGCTTATTGTGCCTTTATTCAGCCAATCATAACCCTGACCACCAGCAGATGGGACCAGAAACACAAACATGCGCACAGACGCACCTAGCGCAGTTGATCCACCACTGGGGTGGCGAGGCGCCGATGAACTTCGGTTCGATGAAGTGCTTATGACCTATCTGGTAGACCCCAGTGGTGGATCAACTGCGCCAGGTGCGTCTGTGCGCATGTTTGTGTTTCTGGTCCCAGCTGCTGGTGGTCAGGGTTATAATTGACTGAATGAAGGCAAAATAAGCCCGAAACAGCACTGTATCAATCTACCCACATTCTCTGTCGTCCCTCCTTGCTGATACCTGATAAGGCTAACTGGTACATTGTGGGACCATGGCGATTTGCACGGGGCTACTTACTTCTCCGAATCCAGCTCGATGGTACGCTAACTTGTTGCAATTGTTATCCATATTAGCACGTCAAAGCCTAACTATTTGATTTACACTCCCTACTTTGTGGCGTAAGAACTTTCGGATTTTTAGGCGAGAATGGTTATGTAAAGGTTAGATCAACTCGAGAACTTCAAGAATCTAAGCAAACTTGAGGTGGATCGAGTACTTTATTGAAGTATCACTCTTGGAGTAAATCTTCGTTTATATAGCAGAACGAATTTTCGCTTTCGACATGTTTCCATATCACTCGTATCAGCTTATAGCAATTATCGTGAAGACTTCGACGAAAAACTGCAAAACTTCGTCCGCTGACCTGACAACGCCTATTTGGGTGGCCTATTTTTACCTCTAGGTAGGTTAGTTGTATATTCTGACAGCAGGAATATTGTGATATTTAAGACACGCACCAACATCCAAGGAACCATTCTTATGCTTACCATAAACTAGTTTTAAATGTACAACAACCTAAGCTACATGCTTATTGATTGCCGTCTTCAGGCAATGATGTTCCTATTATTGTCGTTGAACTTTGGTTAAAACTATTTGTAGCTCTTTGGAAACAAGAATCAGACGGTGCCTTCGAAAAAGGAGAAATACTTGAAAGACTACTATCGGAACTTTCGCTATAACGTGGAGAAAGAAAAATTCATGATGGATAGCGATTCATCTGACGACGATAACTTGCTTTTAAGAGAAAGTTTTTGCGGTAAAACTCGAAGGTCCCACACCCGCAGTGGTATGTCCGATTTCTGTCCACCGTCATTGCATTCTTCATCGTGTATTACCTTTGGGCAGCAATGCTTGCCTACACAGTAGATTTTTTGTGAGTCAGCATAGGTTTATTTCAAATGATTACGCCCGAGTTCCTTGCTACTACTTATTTTTGTTGAAAATTGGAGGCAGTTTTGATACATATTTCATCTCCCTAGATGCCACTTGACAACCTAGATGGCTAACACTGACAGCATCAATGTTGTAGTGACCGACGTCACCCTTAGATACGCATGGCACCCAGTCACTATCACTGATAGTGCATGCTGCGTATAATTCATTCAAGGCCAGATAAGGCACTATCAAGCGAGACGCAGACAGCCGTTTCGCGGTCGTTGTGGATCACCAGTACGCCACCTTCTGAAGTTGAGGTATCGCCAGCAACCCAGCTGGCGGGCGACCAGAAAAGGAACCAAGTAAGATTCCAACCACAACACATGAGGATCACGCGCCTACTTTGCAAGCGCATGCCGGCTTAATTTGAAATTGCCTAACGGATGAACCTATGGTTCGAGTGCTAGTTTTCCATTCGACAATTTCCACGAGAATGAATTAGTCTCTTTTGTTTATTTGATTTTGCCTCCAGATCTTTCGTCTTTGCAAAGACATACTCTGAAACCGTTGAGTGCCTTTTATGAATCGTTTCAGTTAACCCAAGGAATGCATTCGACTGGTCACGCGCTTATGGAGAAAATGAGGGGGAACTGGGAATGTCACCCGACATATATCGTTCCGCAAAGAGTCTTCCAAGGGATCTTGAGTATCTTCTGAAAAAAGTAGACGATAACAATCTCGGTAGGTGTGGAACGTTCATTTGCTGGGTAGTTTTACTTCTAGTTCATGGTCACCGATTTGTCTTAAAACAGTACTATTCGCTACAGCAATGGGCTTTTCCGGTTCATAAGTGCTTGCCATTTAGTGAGAATTTTGTCAATCAGGTGCAGTTGCCTAGTTGACGGTTTTTTTGTCAAAGTCGTCGTTGGCTCGGCTCCCTCTGTTAAACACTTTTCCTGTCTGAGCCAATTACTGATTAATGGCATGTAGTAATAATGATAGTAATAGCGATGATACTACCACTTCTGCTGCTATCATTACTACTACTACTACTACTACTACTACTACTACTACTACTACTACTACTACTACTACTACTACTACTACTACTACTACTACTACTACTACTACTACTACTACTACTACTACCACCACCACCACCACCACCACCACCATCATCATCATCATCATCATCATCATCATTACCAGTACTACCGCCATGAATACCGTGAAGCCTAAGCAGGGCGCTTCATATTCGGTAGAGTTTACGTACTTTCGGCAAGAACGGGGTGGGAGAGATTCCATCCACACAATTGTTTCAAATTACCATGCTGCCTGTGAATTTTGCATTCACCCGATAGTACTTCTATATGGACAATCAGAGAAAGGTAAAGATACCACTGACAACCAAATTGAATAAGGAGGAGAAGGTAGGACAACTGCGTGAACCCCTTCGGTAGTAGTTGACGCAGCCAGGCTTCTTATTAACATATGATCATATCGGTGGATTTTAAGTCTGTGCAGTCTCCACATGCGGCAGTTGACGGTATGGCATATTTGAATTTGCCAATTTCAGGGATGTTTGTTCCGAAAAACGAAGCGGTTGCCTGGAAAAATCGCATTCAGTTGGTGTGTAGCCTTGCAAATATCACCGCCATTTAAACTGGTGCACTTAATATATCGCGGACATCATCTTGCATTCACATATGTAGACTTAAAGAAGGGAGACGCGGAAACAAAAATTTGCGTTCTCGCGAGGCTTACGTTACTGATTACGGCCATTCTATTCTCCCAACTCAAATAACCCCTTTTTCCAGCAGCCTTATATTACAGGTAGTGTAGGGGAGATTTCTAGAAGGTGGAGATAGTGCTAAGTCAATCTATTCAGTTGTTAGAATCTTAAACATATTATTTGTTGGTTCTAGTCTCACTTATACTTGCTTGTTATTTTTCTCGGAAGGGGAATGTCTATATTATTGTTTATCATTGTCTGCGGTAGACGACGCCGAAATTCATCGCCTGCGTGTTCGCCTGGAGGAAGTAGAACAAGAAATGACTCGTCTCCTGGAGGTTGTCAACTCAGCCGCCTTGCCTGAAGATTCAGTCGCAGCGAAACCTCCCTGCCCTAATCACCGTTATCATCATCCTCATCAAAGAGAAGAAAAGGCACGCGATGGTTCCGAGTGCATTGAGAAGACGGACGATGATGAGGAATTACTTTCGGCCAGTGAAGGCGAAGGAGAAAATCATGAAGTTAGTTTCGGCGCAAGTGCATTTTCACCCAGAGGGTCCTGTCTAACACTACACTGCAGTTGTGCCAACATACGTGGCTCTGTTGAATCCCGCAGGACCACTCGTTTTCATGACTCTAGCCTCGTCCACATGAGCCTTTCGGCTTCCGATTAATGTTGCGATACGATCGAAGGCACTTATGCGGATGAAAACAAACGTGTTATTCAAGTCGTAGCCGAACTCCTTGTGTCCGATGAGTTTCATTTTAATAGCACAGATGAGTTTAAGTATGCAACCTAGCCCGTTTTTTCGGACCTCTTGCCGATAAGGAGGGAGAGAAAACTTAGTGCGTTGTTAAGCCGCTGGGCAGAGCTTTGATCGTCAGGCACGATTTTGATGAGTGCACTTTTCTAAAGAGGTTCTCCCGTAAGACAACGTTTACGGCGTAGGGAAGGTGCATTTCCCTGCCTGGACGCCTCAGTCAGCATCGTTTCACACATTGCATAGTCGGAGAAGATTAGAAAGCACCGTTACTAGTTGCTGAGTTGAACAAGCCCTGAAGTTCGCAGAACTGTGTATTGAATGTAGACGTGACTTGCAGACAGAAGCGGAGAGCCATATTACCAAAAAAGTTTGTAATCTAGCGTCTGATGCAACAATCCACACATTCATCTCTACCATTGTTGGCTCGCACTGTTATGCCGTGTCTCAATTATCTGTAATGCGTTTTTCCCGAATATTGAACTGAGTGTACAGCGCAATGATACTACGGATTCTCCATCGACCTCTCGTATCGACCGAAAAGACAAAACAAGCAACCTACTTCCGACAACCTCTGCGAAGAGTTCTTTTTGAATGTCCTCTAAGGATTAGTGTGCTATGCCCAAAGGTATTCTATGCATGCAAAAAGACCATTGAAATGACCTGCTTTCATTTGTCTAAATTCCCAGGTCGACTTTTCTCGTGTATCTTTTCTTAAACTTTAATTGCACATCGTCTCGTTGTTCCATCAGCCGTTAACCCAGTCTATGTGGATCTATTTTTTTAGGTACATCAGTCATGAGTAAATCGTGTGATGATACGTCAGCCGCGGTTTTTGGAACCCCTCCAAACAAAGTAGCATTTATAAACTGACTTCTCGCGCATCCTTTGTTCTCCTCTCCTTCAACGGCTTATTTTTACTTCGTATCTTGTGATCTCAAACTTCTCATGTGCAATGTCCAAACCTCTACATTTGTTGCTTATTATGTCTTCTGTCAATATAAGCACTACCCTAGTCGCATTGGATAACTTCTCTGGAACCTGTGTGACATTATTTGTCCCCCCCTCTGCATGTAGTCGATGTTCAGGGGGTTATTTATTTGCGGTTGGGCGTTCATGTGGTGCCAAGAGATAGGGCAGGTAGTCGCATTAATGGATTATCAGCCGGGTGGAGAGTTGGGTGGCAATGTCTGACTTGTTTACCGTCGTTAACCCTAGCATGCCCCCCAACTCCAGCCCTCGGAAAGATCTACGGTTCGAAACTGCAAGGGGATTGGTCATTCCACCCTGACCGAACATGTCGCCCCGTCGCGGTTTGTGTCTCCAAGGCTTGCTGAGCGTACCGGTCTCACTCCGATAGTCATCCTGACTGGCTAGCTGGAATATCTCTCAGATGTCGGTAGACTTGTTTATGAAGCCCTGCTCCGTTATGGGCGAAGGGCAGGCCGTGCTATGACGTAGATGGGAGGGGACGTCATGCATTGCAAACCACTGAGCCTTGTGCCATCGACCGTTGTCCTGACCTTGTTCTGTTACCTCGGACGTGGCGATTGTGCCGTACGCATCCGTCTTCATGCAAGAACCTTTTGTAATAGTAAAGAGCTATTATATGATTTTGGGTTGGTGTTATTCTGGTCTGCAGCTTTCCGTGCTTGGGCCTACCGAGCGAGTGTCCATCCTACTGACACTCATGGCTGTTGCTCGAATTTTGTATGCAGTCATATGGCAGCTTCGACTGTTTTAGAAATTTTGTGGTCCGATGATGCAGTCAGTAGCGAAACCCAGGTCAATGCGGTGCGTAGTTTTACTTCACAGTACCAGCAGGCATATCTTACTTACCGTTGAGACAGAGATGTTGAAAATAGGGACTGAACAACGAAGAATGGGAGTTAGATAATTTTGCCTGATTTTCAGTCGCATGCATCTTACATTGAAAAGGTTCTAAAGCACTTAGAGGCAGGGCATCCTAAACATGGGCCACTGGGTTCCGATCCCAGCAATCGTGAGAAACACGGGGCAGCCGATGCTCACATTTTTCATTCTGCTCAAAATTTGGGGCATGATTAATAATTATGGAAAGACTGCAGACATTGACAAATTTTCTTAGAGGAAAACGATAAGATGAATGAGGAGGATTTGACGGAAGAGCCTAGGGCGTAATTTGTGAGTCTTAAGAGGGACGAAATTGTAGTCTGTTTAGAAATATGATCGAATTAGTAAGCTAATTTGAAGGTAAGACCAGACTGTTTTTCATATACAAACTTGAGAGGGTGCGTAAACCTATGTGGAGCAACCGTAGGAATCAAGTCTTCTGTATGCGTCTTTGCTAATAAATATAATTGGATTTGCACAAAGGTTGTGGTGTGGCCTAAATCTAAGAGATATGCCGCCCCTGGGAACACTGCAACCCAAATAGCACAGATTTGCGGGAGCGAAGGTTAAAGCCATGTTTTCCAAGTGTCGCATACGTAGTGCTCATCATGACTAACAAACCGCCCCGTATGGGCTGTGGCCTACGTCCATACGATGCTTTTCCTGGTGCCACTAGCACATCTTGCTCGGTGTCCGCCTGTACGAATGGCGAAACTCACAAGGGACCAGCGGCGTCTCGAATAATTTAACAAAATATAGCCTACTTAAACAAAGTAAGTAGGCAGGCAGATGATGTTTACGTTGTTCGAGGCTTGGCTAGAGGCATGTTATCAAATGCTCATACAGAGGCAAACAAGCCACCGTGGCGGACAGCCAAGACTACTCGAAACATCTTTCAACGCTCTTGCATTGCAAGTTCTTACGGACTCGCTGGCCTTAGAGTCGGACCGACTGTCTTGGCTGACTTCGACAGACTTTCAGACGGCACGTGCTGCAGCACCTCGACGAAAGGACACAAGATCCCTAACTTCGCTCCTCCAAGTAGATGGAAGCAGCCCGTCGTTTACATGCACTCTCCCTCTCAAACTTGACTTAGACCTTTACGCGAACGATCTGGTCTCGACAGCGACAGCTGTTGTCTGAGACATAAAATCAAGGTTCTGTGCATAACAAATGTACTAGATGATCTAGCTCATGAAGTGCGATCGGAATTTGAGAGGATGATACCCCACACATTTAGTGTGGTTATGTTGTTTATTGCTAGAGAAGAATTCTTTTGGGATAAGTCTTATGAAAGAGAACAGGGTTATATTAGGCAAATTTGGAGGTTTCCTAATACCCAAGTAATTTCCCATGTTATTTAGTGTCACATGTCAAGAGTTCTTAATTTTTGGCCATTGTGTTATAAAGTACATCAATATAAGCAAGAAGATTTTCAGGCAAATCCCATATAGGTACGGGGAATTAGATTTTACGTTCATGAAGATCAGGTGGATTCAGGCATGCGAGGGCTCATTTTTTTCAAAAAGGAGGAGCGTATTAATATTTGAACAATTCTAATTTGTGAATACGTGACTTTTTTGGCATAAAATGCAGTAGAAATCTTGATTGATAGTTATATTAAATCTTACGTAATCGACCTGTAATCTTGTCAGTTTTCTTGATTTGGTGGTTTTTCGTAAAAAATAGCTCCTTAGACAACAAATAATACTGTTTAAACCAAATGGTGCATTTCTTGAAGCTTGGTCGTTTCTTTAACGTAGTATAGTTTTCGTGGGTGCGGGATGGGCGGTTCGTGCGCCTCAAGGACTTCGCATTCGGTGACCTTTCATCAGAAAGGTCGTGGACTGTACCCCATTCTTCAGTCTTTCTTCTTTATCCACTAACCGCAGCTTGGTGTGGTGGTTGTGACCACTAAGATAATGCCCGTCTGCCTCGATTGCAAGACCACAATGCACGAGGGATCACATTCCGTGTTAACTGAAATATGTATGCGCTCAAATGGTAAATTCTAGATGCGTTTATCAAAAAAGGACATCGGGAAGACAAGGCTATTGATATGATCGCTTCCGGGAAACTTCTCCAGGACAGCATGGGTGTCCATAAATACAAGTAAAAATATACTCCCTTTGAAAATGAATTTTTGGGCGATATAATTTTAGTGAGTCAGGAAACTGTAATGTTAGATCAGAATGCTTCAAAAGACTCAAACATGAAACATTATTCCATGCCTTCTCACATCGGTTGATTGGGTGAGTGTTTATCCGGGTGAAATACTAACCAACGGAAAAATTGCACACGAATACCCGAAATATGTTTCGATTATTAGGCTTAGCTCTTCCTTCAAGTCGGATGGGACTGAGGAGAAAGTCCCGCATTTCAGAGATATTGCTGGGCGTTAAATCGGTGGCAAGCTCGCCAAGGTGTCCTGCGGAGTCAGCGTACCTCTAGGTCACTCTAATCCTCCAGTCCCCGGGACCAATCAACGTAGAACACGTCATGAAGATCCGCAAGGCGGCTATAGATTGTATGACGGAGGACTCTCGATGAGGGTGAACAACAGGAGTAGCAGCTTCTGCTCCAATCGATAATGTGGCCTTAGATGACGGACTCGGTAAATAACGCTCGATCTCATCACGAAGACACGCCGCTCGTTGACGCTCAATAATGCTATCAAGAAAACGTTCACTATTAGCTAAATAAATTGTCCTAAGAAGCTAAGTAAAAAACCAATAACCCAAAGCTATACATCATCAGATGGCTGAGAAAATAAACGTATCAAAGACCACAGTCACACGCGTGGCACGACAGCAATGCTAACAATGAGGAGAAGGGCCATCGCCCCAAAGGATACCGGCGAACATCTCAAATATAGAAAAAAAAGAATGGAAAGATTGATACGTTGAAGAAGCTCTCAGTCAAATGTCCTTTACCGTATCCGACATGACCATACTTTGACCGTTGAGAGTAACGACGTTCATGGATCGGCGGGTTTGGAGGCTGTTTAGTCCGTCACCACCGTCCATTGAGCTAAAGGCCGCGATTTCAACAGGTGGCCTATACCTTCAAAAACGAGTAACAGGAAGTAGATTACTTTTACTATAGTTTCTGTAGGATGATTAACGTAAGGAAAGTCACAACATCATCTGTACCGCAAAAAATGCATAATTAGTAATCATTTGTGCTAAACATGAGATGAGCCATACTTCGGACTGGACCATGCCCCCATCCATCTCTGCTTGGCGGGAACATATACTCGCAGGTTTTCCGTAAATTTCCCTCCAGAGATAAGACAATTCAGGTTTTACTGCAAATGGCAGAATTGTTGAGTGGTCTGGCAGGATACAGTAACGTCAATTCATGGGTTCATGCAGAAAAAAGAACAATGCTATTAAGAAGGGACACGAACAATCGGTCCTACACTACGGCATCAGGGACTCATTAATCATTTGACTAAACAGTAGTTCTCTCTCGAGACCTACTCACGGATTGGCCCTTTGTCTTATGCAACCGGGCAGAATATGAAGCAGTCAGGAAACTAATTAACGCTATAGGGAAATTGTCTGACTCTGGATTTGCATTACGGCTCCTTCGGTCACCATATTGGCAGAAATTCCCGTTAACATGATGCACGGTTAAAAAAACCAGCAATAGCGTTTGCGCTTTGCAACTATGTTACAATTTCAGTGACCCCGTCTCCGCCCACGCTTGCTTTAGCTCTTTATTTGCACTCCGCACATCAGAGAAGAATTGAAACCAAGCGTAAACGTAATGTTACTGAACGCTAGACATTTGTCTTCCCAAGTCCACTGGACCGAATTCTTTTCAGACCCTTCGTTCTGCAACCACGCATTTTTGGATTTTCCAGAATTCCATTCAGGACGTGTTTCCAAAACAACAGGAGCCAACCATGCACTCGAGGTCATTATG